CTTACCAAACTCTCCTTTGTACAGTTTGACAGTAAACTTCAAAACAGCCCTTGGAATTTTTAAATAATGGAATCTTAATACTGAGTTATAAGTAAAAGTCACAAATTTTTAAATGTATTGATCAAGCTTTAATATGTGATACAAATCAATATAACATTTCTATAACATGAATGCAGTTCTGCTCAAAATTAGAATGTGCTTGGTTGGGGCTTTTGTTTATAAACGCACATCTCTTTCAAAGTAAGAAAAAAGGCACAAAAACACGAGTTCCCTACAGAGATTATAGAAGCACAGTGCCCTCCCTGCCGCATCACGAAAATACATTAAGGTACCACAGAGCTTAAACAGACGTTACACTTAACATCTGGCTAGCTACCCAAAACACTCTCACTTCGGGGAGCGCAGGGCCTCTGAATGTTCACCTAGTCTGCTGCGCGCTTATAAAACTAGCATTTTCATTTGAAAGGAAAGGACCACTGCCCCTCAGGTTATGAGGGTCCAATCCCTCAGAGTAAAGGAATGGCTTGCCTGGCTTTTCCTGCCTGTGCCGGGGCCTGCGGGGGAGCAGAACAGCAGTTTGGCCTCCTGTAACACCTGCTGTGTTGACTCATTTGTGAGTCACCGAATTTTTAGCAGAGACATCACATTGCAGTTCTGCTGTTGGGAGCCAGAGACATCTGATGCGTTTTCAGGGCTGACTCTGACCTGCGGGCCACACCGCAGCACATACAACTGCAGGCATCTGCGTTTTTATTCAGACTCTCTCGGGGGCTCTTACGGAGGACTTTATGCAACAGACACAACGGGCCACTTGGAGCTGCAAACACTCCCCTGCTCTGGCTCCCTAACCAGCAGTCCCTCTCAGACGGGTTCCTACTCTGACCCTTTCCTTCCGTGGCTTTGTCACCTTACCACTGACGATATATAGTAAAACTGAAGGAAATCTGAGCGTCTTCTTTCAGAATCCGGTACCTCCCCACACAAAGAAAAATTCCACAGAATAGAACTTCCAAGTATATTTCAGCAAGTTTCACAGTTCCTAGAACATTTCTATTTATGTATATTTATGCACAAAGATTGCTGCTCTTGGACAGGGAGTCTGTCCCCCAGGAGACATCTGGCAATTTCTAGAAACACTAAGTTGCCACAACTGGGGGGGACAGAGGGACAACCACAGGCATCTAGTGAGTAGAGTCCACAGAATCTGTTCACAACCTACAACGCAAAGGACCCCCTACAACACAGAATCATCTGGCCCAATTTATCAATACTGCTGAGGTGGCGAGCCCCAGCATAGACCAAATTCACTCTCTCAAAAAATCAGATCAAATTCTACATAAATACGGTAATGTTAAAATGGGTGGTGTGATTCCAAAAAATCCCCTTCAAAAGAGCCATTTGAAAAGATGCAGCCTTTCAAGAAGAAAACTAATGACTGTCAGGTTCCCAGCTGGGCTTGACACAGTTCCAATGTTTACAGGGTCCCTGCGGATGCTCTACGTTTGTAAGATTGGAAGTAATAGGCTCCTTTGTAGAATACAGCAATTTGGGCCTTAATGGGTGTGCCCAGACACACACCGCCTCATTTTAGCAGCACCATGCATTAACCTTTGAAGTTTCAAAAATGGAAGGCAACATTTCGATAAAGGTTTCTAAATTACAGGAAAAGTATTAACTGGATATTAAACAGACAACATAGGGAAAATTAGGAAGAAAATAATTAGCATGGTCACAGTGAACCCAGTGTTACTGGAACCCAGATGTGAGGGGAGAGAGCATTCTGTTTTGGAAAATTGATTTCCTTTTTTACAAGCTAAACTCTAACTGCTCTTTTGTTTTCTTTTTTAGACAGAAACATAATTATTGCTGAGTGGTAAATCGTCTATAAAATGAGAAGTCATATCATTAGCTTTATTGTTCCACATTCTCAGTTTTATTTACTTTCAAGCTAGGGACTTAAAAGAGGAAAATAAAATAAAACAAAATGTCTCCAGTTGGATGTGTCTCTGGGACGACAGATGACGTTCAGTCATAAACTTCTACAGCAAAAGCAGATTCGCCTGTGTTATAAGCAATTAAAGTACTGCTAGTAATAATTGTTTTTAAAAAAGAGTGCTCTTTCTCACCTTTGAAGTGAATAAACAAATTTTACTTCAGAATAAAAAAGGAAAAAATATATCAAGTCTAACAGAAGCTTGATTAACACAAAGAGTGAACTTCACCGAGGATTTATCCCTTATTTATATACTCTGTGCTGCCCCGTAACCTTCATACTCTATATTCTCCCACATCTCTACCCAGAATCAGCAATGGCATCACTAAATAGTATGTAGTTGAGAGGAGATGAGCACAGAGATTGAATTCAATTGCCCAATTTGGGGTTTTGACATGATGCCCTTTTAATAGAAAGAGCTTACATTTTTAGCTTACTAACATCTTTTATACAAAGAGCATCCATTTGTGTGATTGCATTTTTTTCTCCTGGGCACACAGGTGAGGTACGTAGGCAAACATCCTCATCCCATTACACAGTTGAGGAAACTGAGTCTCAGGAAAGCTACCTGACTTGTCCGAGGCCACACGAGTTAGTGGCGGTGCTAAACGTAAAGCCCTCTTGTCCCTACACCATGCAGAAGAATTCACATAGGATATCATGAAAAGAAACCTTGAGCAAGAGAAAGGAAGCCCCTGACACCCAACAGCTGGCCTGGTGTTATCAGCCAGGTCTTGATGTTTCTAGGACCTGGCCTGACACTCACAGCTAGAACACCATGGCGTTCTCTTATTCAACATGAACGATTTCACAAAATGTTAACATCAGACAAGGCAACTCCATGACTACGTTGAATCAGGACAAAACAACATCACTCCATAACCATGTCTCTACACTGACAAAATATGACATTGTCCAAGTGTACAGAAAATGGAAATTTATGGCCAGGATTCTCTCCTGGCTTTAATATTGCCCATGTGTACATAGAAGAGCCTGTTTGTATATCTACTGGTGGCAGGATGTTTACCAGCAACAGAGCCGCCAGTCAGTCATGGGAGTAACCGCCCAGGGGAGGGGTGGAGAAGAAACACACAAGCGCCTGGATGTAACTGGTCCAGCATATGCCAGTCACCATGGAGACCTGAACAGAGAGTTCCTCTATGCAAGAGGCGGGGAAAGGAGGAGAGTGGTGAGAGCAGAGAGAGAGGTGCAAGCAGAGAAGTGGAGAGCTAAGGAGGCAGAGAGGAAGCAAGATGGAGAAGCCGCAAAGGCCCGGTTCTAGGAGGGGAGAAAGCCCCGTGCTGGAGAGCAGGTGGGAGCAGCATCAGGAGCCCAGAGAGACTGAGCTGCCTGTGGCCCCTGTGAGAATAAATATATGGGCCCCTTTCAGGCCCCAGCTTGCCCTTGTCTTTACCAGCCTCATGGAGTTCACAGTTAACTTGCCCAAGGCAGGAAACCCTGCTCCTCACAGAGTAACACCAAGCCACAGAAATGGCTAAATATTTCCTGTCTCCAGCTAACACGAGTTACTGCTGTTACTCCAGCAATTAGTGTTAGCCTGGATCTAGTCTTCCCTCCCTGCAGAGAAAATGTATCAAGATACCTCCTTCTTCTGACAGCACTTCCAGACATAGCAAAGCCCCACTTCTTTAAATCTTTTCCCAAATCCATTTGCACAAGTCTAAATCCTAAAATAGGCTCTTTCCAACACCTCTTGCTGAGATGCCCCAAGGCTCCATGTGGCGTACATACAATGAGCAAAAAAACCCCACCTATTCAAGCACAGGTATGTCCTGATGGTCTCTGGATGGAGACCACAGAGACTACTGAGAACTAAGGAAGTCATGATTCACAGTTAGCTTTTCAAACATGGTTACTGATAGCATTTTCCTAAATCACAGGGAAGTACGAACCCAGCAATCCTGGGGCAGCTATTTGAAAACCAAGGGGAGAAAAGCTCACACAAATTATTTATAAAATGAATTATAAATCAAAGATCTGATTGATCTAACAAATCTATTTCTATGTTTAGGGACACTGTGACACAAATTAAGGTTTTCACTGGGTCACTGATTTTATACTTACGCATATTTCCATTGTAAACCTGATAGTAGGAGAGGAGAGCCAAAACAGGATTGACTCAGAAATTTTGATTTGATTCACCTCCTCCATATGAATAGCCTCATAAAACATAAATCTGTGTGCCAAAGTAAAATCAGTAGTCTTTTTTTAAACAGTCCAGTTCTTTCTATCAAAGGGTAGAATTTTGGATGATACAGTATAATACCTACCAATTCCAAAAGCGATTGTTAAATACCTAACAAAATTTAATGACAGACTGTGTCTGTTTAATATCAAAACATATGGTTAAATTGCTAAAATAAAATAAAATTCTAAAAATCTAGCCTGCCATCCAGGTTTTGTCTGAAAATGTCCTGAATTTTTTATTGAATTAACTCATGTTGTCATCATCTTTGCAAATGATGATGAAATAAGCAGGGTAAATAATACTAAGTATTTTTAATGAATATTGATTTTAAAATAAAATTAAGAAAGCTTTTTGAGTAACACACTTTGAATACCAGAAAAATCAGTCATCTAGTTGCTTAATGATCCAATTTCTCCCCATAAATAGAACCCAACTTATTTTGAATCAAGTGGATTGTTCTGTTGTCCTATTTTAATAGCATGCCACAATTCTATTTCTCCTTACCAGTTTCTATGCATTTCTGAAAACTAAACCGAGACCCACCACAGCTCCAAGATGCCTTCCACATTATACCACACATGACCTACAAGTTGACAGAAGTTTCCCAAAAACCCTATTGGATATCTTAGAATCTAGGCCATATCATCTTTCAGTTTTTATCTTAGATCCCCAGCCTTTACTCAGAAAATCTCTCTCAAAGTCCCTTGTCTTCACATTTCCTATTAACTTTTCAATTTGTTCACATAAAATATAAATGAAATGCTTGGAATTTCTTAGGGAAAAAGCAGCTCTACTCACCACGTTTTTCCCTTCATTTTGGGCATCTTGATAATCAGGATTAAGCTAAAACAAAACAAAACAAAACAAAAGTAGTTTAAAATTGCTATAAAAAGCACATTATCAAAACCAGAGATGCTTAATTCAGTTCACTATTGAACCCTTAACTAAGTTTAATATAAAAGGAAGCTAGGAAAGAAACTATTGGTAAACAGTTACCTTCAAACTTTAGTTGCAGGAGACACAGCTAAAAATGCCAAATTTATGGCCTTTGTTTATATCAGAACAGTTGACATTTTTTAATAAGTGGGAACTAACAATCTCACCTCCTCTGAAGAAGCATTCAGAAGAGTTCAAGATGACGCTCCACATGCTACATTACAAAGAAAAAAAAGTGAAATAAAAGAGGAACTCTTTATCAGGTATGTCAGCTAAGGCATGAGGACTACGGAAACCAACAAACAGGAACATGTGTGTTCAGGCTTGGACTGTGGAGTTTCTCATCTTTGGGTGAGAAGGATGAGCTCCGGATATGCTGAGTATTGCCCACGCGTTTCCAGCTATTAGAATCCACAGCCCCTGACTCCCTGCTAACTAGTTTCAAAAGGATGCCTTCATTGTACTGATATAATAACTAGTTTGATAACTTATAAAACAATAGGCTTACAAGGTGTTTAACCTCAAAATAACAAGTTGTCCAATCAAATGTAATTATTTTAATGTGGATTAGTTGGTGTACAAATTATGCACCTCTAGGTAGTTACAGTCACCATTTAAAACATAAGGTAGGGAGTCTTTCTCAGAATGACTCTGGGCTCATAGCTCTGAGGAATGCCCCTACCAACATCACTAAGTATCAAAGAGGGGGCCGGAAGCACCAAAATCAAGACAACAAAACAAAAAACTTTCATCTCCTGGAAAGCTAAGGCTGACAGTCCATCTAAACCCGACTCTTCAAAGAACCTACAATAATTAGAAAGTAGACAGCACTAGGGGCGACGTAGAGAATTCCCCAATTTTCATTTCATGGCATAGCTCAACCTCACTTCAAGCTAGTGGCCATGTGAACACACTTACGAAGACACCTGCTATGGGTCCCACTATTTGTCCACTGACTCAGAAACCCCACGTATTTACCAACCAAAATCCTACACAGAAGTTCTTCTCTGCCACTGAGAAGCTGCCATTTAACTGAGCAGAAAATTCTTTCCCCAGTCCTCCCACCCACTGTCCCACTACCTCTATCTTGACATACGCAGAAGAAACGGCAAAGCTCAGGAAACCCATGGGCAGGGAGTGGAGGGGGCAGGTGAGGGCAGAGGGCTTTCTCAGAAGCGCTGCCTGAAGGAGAGGAAGAACTGCAGCTGCTCCGTGCTGGAAGTACGACGCATGATAACATGGAAGTGTTTCCATGAAGGGGGTTACCCAAAGCGTAACCTTCAAAGCAATGGCTTGACCTGCACGGCAGCAATGTCAGCCACCACCTAACCAAAAGAGCGTTTCACTAAGAACTGTGCTGGGGCACTGTGCTCGGTTCACAACGTGTGCTTACTGTCTTCATTCCAAAGATATTTTTCTCCATACACAGTCACTGTAAAGCCATATCCCAATCATGTACTAGCAATGCAACATTTGTAAAGCATAATTCTCACTGCTCTTATTCTAATCAGGATACCAAATTGAATGGAAATCACAACAATCTCCAAAGATTAAAATAGTAATAATACAGAAATAGCAAAGGGCTAGGAGAAAGAAGCCGCTGCAGTAGAGCCCAGGTACACAGAATCGGCATCTGCCAGAAGGGGGACCCCCACGGCGACTGCCCTACAGTCTGTCCTTCAGCTGAAGTTTCAGGAAGAGGGCCGAGAATTAAAAAACAGAACAAAAGGACCATCCACTCAACCAGTCCGGCTCAGCAGAGGGCTCAGACGCCTGAGGGTAATGAGGAAGGAAGGAAAAAAAACGTATGTAGAACAAGGGGAAATTCTTTCTCAAGAGTCTTTCCAAATATTATCTATGGTATTATACAAACTGAAGTCTCAGGAAACGCTCTGGCATATTCAAAAAGTACAAGTAAACATTACCTCTCTATGAAGGCAACCGCTAAAAATATAATATAAAAATAATCATATAAAAATATAAAGTTTATAATATAAAAGGAAGGTAAGGAGGACTTCATGAAAAATGAAAGCCTAAATACAAATTGAAAGCCCATACTGGCAGCAATAAAAAGCATAGTTAATATTATAAGAAATGGGTGGTGCAAAGAATAAAAATTGGACACTTATCCCTCAACACAGAGGAAAGGGTAAAGAATTGAAAATTAGGAAAAAGAAAATAATCATGGAGGGCCAGAGAAGGGTGTATCAAATAATGAGCTATTGGTGTACTCAAAAGGAAGAGAAAATAAATGAAACAAAAGCCATAGTCAAAGATAACAGAGAACAAAGTTTTCTTCAGCTGAAGAATGAACTGCCATGTTCCAGGAAAATTAGCTAAAACAGAATGACAGCATCACTGGATGGAGAGGATGGGAAAAGGGCACAGGGAGGGCATAAAATAGAGCCAGAAATTAGGCTTAGATGAAAGTGCGCATCATACAGCAGGAGAACGGATAAACAACACACGGGATATTCAAACAATACAGGACTACTTGGCAATAAACATGATAAGCCACTGAACCACACAATAAGGATGGGTCTCAAAAATACCTACAGTGGAATATTATTCAGCCATAAAAAAGGAGGAAATCCTGCCATTTGCAATAACATGGATGGATTTTGAAGGCCTTATGGTAAATGAAACAAATCAGAGTGACAAACACTGTATGATCCCACTTATATGTACAATCTAAAAAATCCCGAAGTTATAGAAACAGATCAGGTTTGTGGTTACCAGAGGCAGGAGACTGGGGGGACATGGCAAATTAAATGGATAAAGAAGGGTCAAAAGGTACGAACTTGCACTTATATAATAAGTAAGTCCTGGGGATGTAACGTACAGCATGGTGACTATAGTTAACAATACTGTATTGCATATTTGAAAGTTGCTAAGAGAGTAGACCTTAAAAAATCTTTAAGGGAGTAGATAAAAGTGTTCTCATCACAGACAAAAATTGTGTAAGTATGCATGGTGATGGATGTTATCTAGCATTACTATGGTAATCATTTCACAAATATAGATATATTAAAGCATTCTGTTGTACACCTAAAATCCATAAGATGTTCATATGTCAATATTATACCTCAATTTAAAAAAATGTAAATGGAAGAAGCCAGGCACTGTATGACTCCATGTATATGAAATCTAAAAACAGACAAAACTATGGTTAAATAAATCAGAAAGTGAGTGGGGTGTAAGGGCAGGGAATAGACAGAGAGAGCAGAAGCCAGTCCAAGAGTCACATGACAGCAGTCTTTCAGTTTTTGGAGCTGACATTCAGTGGGGGCCAGGGTGGGAATAAGAAAATAGAACTTCAGTAACAAGCTGCACGATAGTGCTAGGCCAGCTACTGGGGAGATTTGAGGCTGAACTTGGTTTTTCTTTGGAGATACATACCTCAGGGTCCTTAAATCTCTTGAATTATAAATAAAAGAATTAGTTTCAAAACAGGATTATTCTTGCTCTTGGAATCCAAGAGTGAAAGGTCGAAAGCCAAAGAGACAGTGAATTAACCAGCCTCCTGTCTACTGATTTACCCCAACTCAAAAAGACACACTTTTCCTTGGTAATAATGCAAACTCCAAAAAGTGTTTCTAAATTTGTTTTGTTTGAAGAATTTAGACTTTTAAAATTCAACCAAAAAATCCATACTAAAACTATAGCTAATACATATCCAATAGATATGCAACATGTTTAACCAAGGATATACCTATGGTTAAAGTTTTCATTCAATAAGCACTAAAATAGTTGGTTACAGACACTGTGAAGTATGGACACCATATGTCCATAACTAAAATGTGTACAGACACGGGAATCAATCTGCCTAAGTCAAACTACAAGATCAGTTGTGCCCTCTGAAACACAGATCAGATTCTATCCGAAAGACAATGTTACTTTCTAAAATTCAGTCCCCACATACTCTGCTACTTAGGATCACACAGTTCAGTCCTTGAGGGACATCTGGGGAACCGAATTCCAGACTGTGTTCTATCAGGAAATACCACGGGCCTAGGACAGGTCACCTAACCCCCACGGAGCTCAGGGTCCTCATCTGAACAGTGAGAAAAGTCTGTGCATACTAACTACATGTCATGAAATTTCACATATTCATATATTCACGTCTTTGGCAGCAATACTAAAGATGATGCCGATCAGTTAGATTTTGCTTCCTCTTGTGTTTCCTAGGCGGCAACGTGGGTTTTTTTTTTTTTAATTAATAGAGAGTTTTTGCCTCAGCAAACCCATTACGAT